TGGGGATGGACAGCTTTGGAACGTGCAGGAGCCTGAGGCCTGCCCTGCCTTCCCGGCAGCACCCAAGGGGCCATCTGGAGAATGAGAAAGGCTGAGGGGCGCTGGCAGCCAGAACAGCACCTGCCAGCTCCTACCCCAGCCCACATCCCCGACCCGCCCCCCCCCCCAGGAGTGGAGAACACCTGGGTTGGTGTGCCCTCTGGTGGCAGCTTGAGAGAACAGCAGAGGCTCCCGCGGGCACTAGCTCCTTGAAGAAGTGAGAATGCGGGTCCACCCCCCCAGGACCCCCAACCCCCGCCGCCTCCGGCTAAAGACAGCTGTAAAACCCTGACGTACTGACTGATATACGTGCATAGACGCATTTGGAGGGCAGCCAACGCGGGCAGCTGTGGGGCTGTCACCCCTGAGCAAAGAGAAACAACAAAGTGACCCCGCATCCACCCCGGGGGGGGGGGGTCGGGGGACGGGTACACAACTGCAAGCACGACCCTGCTGAGCTGAGGGAACAGGGTCTAAAACAGCTGGAACTTGAGGGAAAAGCCTGGAGAGAAGGAGCCCAGCATCCTGAGTGCAAACCCGGGGAGTGGCGGCTAGCCCCTACGCCCGTGCTGGGGAACCCATGAGAACCAGCAGAGAGGAGCAGCTGGGGAGACCAGGAGCTGGATGAGCGGCCGCAGCAGCATGAAAGCTGGAGAAACAGACTGCAGATCAAGCCTGCGGACACAGAGTTGGGGCAGACGGTGCAGACCGTCCTCTGAGAGTGCAGACACTCCACTCCCGGGAGCACGGACGGGCCACACTCTCAAAAACAAGCCAGCCCTTGCAAAGCCTGGAAGCAAGGCTTAATAGGGCCCGGTGATCTGCTGAAACCACCCACTCATACGAATGAAGCCTCACCCTCTTTGGAGCAGATAAGGACATCCCAGCACCCCGCAAAAATGTATCCACCATGTCCAACATCAAATAAGAAGTACAAGGCATGCTATAAAACAGGACCAGATCACTGAAAACCAAGAGGAAAAGCAACAGACCCCACAGGTGACTCAGTTGCAGGAGCTTCAGATGAGGCTTCAAAATCACCAACATGCACTTTCTTCATGTCACTCCCCTGCTTAATATCTACTGTGGCTCCCCGTCACTCCTCAGTCAGGCAGTAAATGCCGCCCTTGAAGCAGCATCCCAGAGTGGAAAGAAAACAGCCTCATCCATATAGACATTATATACATACACTTCAGACTCATCTATTACAATGTGTAACATATGTTCGATACGGCAATCAGCTGTGAACATTTGGGCCACTTCTGTTTTTTTCCCCTTTGTTCTTTCGTTTGTTATCGAGAGATCTTCTGTGAGTACCCTTGCTCATGTCTCCTCGCGGCCATGGGTGAAAGAGTCCAGTCTGGTGGTCTCGCCCTCCACGGGGCATCGGATCCCCAGGCCTGTGAAAAGGCAGACTGCCAGCCCCACAGCCAGAGTTTCTGACGCAGCAGCTCTGGACAGAGCCTGAGAATGTGCATTCCTAACAGGTCCCGTGGTGTTGCGCGGCCGCCCAAGGAATCCACTTTGAGAGCGCCCATCTAGGATTGCCTTGTTGGTCACAGAGCGCTGCTCTCGATATGCCCGTTGTTTTCCAAAGTGGTTGTCACCCAGTGTGGAATCACACACTTGTTAAACTCAGACTCGGTGCCCCCCCCACAACCACCGTGCAAACACCTGTCACAGTTCAGTGGGTGGTGGCAGCTATCTCGGTCCGTATGTGATGTTCATGCAGGCCTGTTGTCTTTGACCAGCCCAATGGCCCTGGCCGGATGGGCCCACGTCAATCAGCACTCTGAATGTGTGGGGTGCATGCCTGCCAGTTAGCGTCAGAGCAGCTGCTAGTGACCGTTGACTCCAAATGACCCCGTGGATAAAACAGAGGTTTATGTTTCTCCTACAGAATTGTCACAGCCAGAGTGACCTCACCTGGAGACACAGAACACCTGGGGTTTGTGGTCGGACTCCCTGGGTGAGGTCCCAGCTCTGCCCTTCACAGCTTCTACTTCCTCTGGTGTAAAACAGAGATCGCAGCGCGGGCTGCCTCCCGAGGATGTCACGACCACGCCCAGCACACAGCCTGCGTGAGCAGGGAGCTCTGTGAACCGACTGTGTGTGCCTGCCACCTTGTGGCCTCCTCCTTCCCTCCGGAGAAGGAGGCAGCAGGTGTGAATAGCCCCGCTCTATAGAGCAGTGAAACTGAGGCTCACAGGGACACTGCTTATATGCTTACACCCAGGGCCTACGGCTCAAGGCACAGCGATCCAAGCCCGTGGTATTTAGGTTCACGGAGACTGGGTTCTGACCCATCTCAGCCATTTTCTGTCTCTCTGAATGCGGCCCCCCAACACACACACATACTCCTGGTGCTGCAGATACTGTGGCTGGCTGTTCAGTGCCTGACCGGGAGCTCATAGTCATGCGGCGGAGACAGACAAGGCTCTGGAAGAAGGTCCATCCTGGGTGAGGCCTGAAGAAGGATCAAAGTTCAGCAAGGAAATGTGGGAGCAGCGTCCCAGGCAGCAGGAATGGTATGGACAAAGGCCTGGGGGCAAAGCAAAGTGTGCAACCAGTTGAAGGCAAGGGAGGGGGCACAAGGGCTGGAGATGGGTTAGGGAGCAGGGACAACACACCCGAGGGTTCAAAGCTTATCTTGGGGCAGAGGGAGCTGCTGGGGGGGCCTCAGGCTGGAGCAGTGAGATTATAGTCAGGTGGCTCTTGGTGTCTGGGGGAGGGTGGGGAGCAGGGGAGTGGCTGGAGCTGTGGCATGAGCCCCCCCCCGCCCCCGCACGTGAGGATGGTGGGTGGAGAAAAGGGAGGGTAGCTGGAGATTCCTTCAGGAGGTAGAACGCTGGACAGAGTCTGGCCCCCTCTCCCTCTCCCACAGAGCCCTCGCTCCTTCCCTCCCCCCACCTCCTCTCGCTCCTTGCTCCCATCCTGCATTGCCCCCCCCATGTCTGCCTCTACTTCTTTTCTTTCCTTTTTTTAAATAATAGCTTTGGGGGCACCTGTGTGGCTCAGTTGGTTAAGCGTCTGCCTTCGGCTCAGGTCACAAGGCCAGCGTCCAAAAAATCTTTTTTTAAAAGTGAAAAAATAATAGCTTTGTTGGGGTATAATTCATATGCCATAAAATTCACCCTTTTCAAGTACCCAATTCAGTGGTTTGTAGTACGTGCCTATCACCACTAACTCCGGAACTTCTTACCCCAAAAGAAGCTTTGTTCCCAGTAGCAGCCACTCCCCATTCCACCTCCCCCGGCCCCTGGCGACCACTCTTTACTTTCTGACTTGATGAATTTGCCCCTCCTGGATGTTTCATGGACATGGAATGTATTAGTCAGCTCGGGCTGCCAAAACAAAATACCACAGACTGGGCAGCTTAACAGAAATTTATTTGTCACGGTTCTGGAGGCTAGAAGTCCAAGGACAGGGTACTGGTGTGGTCGGGTTCTGGCAAAAGCCCTCCTCCAGGGAGGCAGGCACCACCTTCTTGTGCCCTCATGTGGTGTGTGGGGGGTGGGGGGAGAACTCTGTGCTACCTCTTCTTATAAAGACTTCATTCCTTTATATGACTAATATTCTATTGAATGGCTAGACCATATTTATCTATCATCAGTTGATGAACATGTGGGTTGTTTCCCCTTTGTAGCAATTGTGAATAAATCTGCTGCCAATTTCCGTCGGTGTACGGGTGTCTTCGTGCATATTTCATTTCTCTTGGGTTAGCTACCCGAGTGTCATTGCTGGGTCGTATGGGAACTCTCTGCATGCCCCCATTTCTTCCCTTGCTCGTTTGTTCAGATAACACGGGGCAAACGTCTAGGAGTTCATGCAACTTCACAGTCCGCCAGACACTTACATATGTGGCCCAACGGTGGCAGGCTGCCCCAAGGAGGAGCTCTCTTTACTGTTTACTTCAGGCTTTCTGGAGGAGGAAGATGGGCTGAGGGAAGGCCCGCTCTGCTCAGCATCACCTAAAACCCTTCATTACGCCCAGAACCAGCTATCTAATTTGCAGTGTCCAGTGCAAAATGAAAACCTGGGCCCCCTGTTCACAAATGATTAAGAACCCAGCCCAGGACCTTCCTCTTTAAAATGGAATAGTGCACTCGGTGGAGCGTGCCACTCTTGAACTCGGGGCTGTGAGCTCAAGCCCCACACCAGGGGTAGAGATTACTTAAAAATAGTATCTTAAAAAAAAACATAAAAAGTGCTGTTTGGTCCCCTGCAGGCTGGCTCCACGTTGCGGGGCTGTGCGCAGCTGGTAAGCTGCCCAAATGCTCCCAATACCACATGATGTCCTTTCGCTCACAGAAAGCTGATCACATTTAGTATTACGCAGAGCTGTTTATTCCCACAGAAGTAGTGAAAATTGTCTCTGATATTGAATCTTAGTATCTACGATATGATTGATTTTTTTGTTGAGCTAATTATTTTTAAGAAAGCGGGAATGGTTAAAAATCTTCAGCTTTGACATTTAAACTCAATACTCAAAAATGATTAATTTTGTGTTGAATTGACTATACTCAACAGAGCGTAAGCGATTTAGTCCGACGGAAATAGCTAAAAACGTCCGGGCTTTGAGGTTTAAACTCAATATCCGAAAAATGAATAACTTTGTGTCAGGTGCCCACGCTCCACGGGGCGGGAGCTCTCGGGCCCGGCGGGAGGAGATAGGATTTCCGGCTCCGGGGGCGAAACCACCTGCGCGGCTCGGCCCGCCCCCCCCCCCCGCCCCCCCCCCCCCCCCGCAGGCGCGGTCGGACGGCCGGCGGCGCGCGGGCTCGGAGACACGCCCCGGGGCGGGGCCTCCGGCGGCGCTTGCGCCGTGGCTGGCTCGAGCGGGCGCGCGCCGCGGGGGCGGGGCCGCGCGGAGGCGGCCGCGCGGAGGCCGGAAGGAAGCGGGCGGAGGGCGGGGCCAGCGAGGGAAGCCCGCCGGCCCGCAGGACGACCGTCGCGGCCTGATGACGTCGCACAATGGCCGGCCCCCGCGGGTAGTGGAGCCCGTTTGTTCCGCCCGCGTCGCGCCTGAAGCCGGAGCCTGTGAGGAGCGGAAGGGCCGAGGGACGTCTTCCCCGCGCCGCCCCGACGCCAGCGGAGCCGTGGCCCCCTCCCCGCCCTCGCGCTGAGGTAGGTGGCGGCGGCGGCCGCGGGAAGGCCGGGCCCGCGGGGAGGAGGCCGAGGCGGCCGGGCGGGGAGCGTGGCGGCGGCGCGGAGCCGAGGCCCGGGAGCCCCGGCGCCGCCGCCTCCGGGGAGCGCTCCGGGCTGTGTCCCCGGCCAAGCGTGGCTCTCGGGTCCTGGGAAGGGGTCGCGGAAACAGGCACGATCCCGCGTTCGGTCCGCGGCTTGCCGGCCCGGGGAGCCCTGGAACCTACTTGGAGCCCGAACTCCCCGTGGCTGCCTCTGCGCCCCGCGGTGGAGTCCATTCTCCCGAAGCTGTCATTTCTCTTCCGGGACATTCGCGTGGCACATGTTTGCCGCCCACGGCGGGGGTGGGGGGGGGAGGCACGCAGATTCGCCCTCCAGAGGAGACCAGCCCGGACTGGGGATGGGCTCTTCGGAACTTTGAGCTCTCTGGAGCTTCCCGGAACTTGCTCCCTCGGCTTCAGTGTGCACAGGTTGGATGTATTGGCTGTGCCCCAACTCGCGCTCCACTCTTAGGCATAAACTTCCTTGCTCCTTTAGGATCCCGAAGGATGCCGAGTCCTTTGGATAAACTAACTGTAGCTATCATGCTGGGAGAGCCTAAGACTTCACTTCCAGCCTTGCTTCTGCTAAAAGTTAAGTTTTCTCGAATACTTTATGACAGCGCGTTTGTTGTGTAGAGTGGTTGATCGTTTTAAGAGAGCTCTGTTCAGCAAGCTCTTTTGCAAGAGTAGGTCAGTGTTCGATCCGTTTGGGGAAAATGGAAGAAGAGAGTGTTTGGCATCTGTAGTACTTCCTGGGGGCAGAGCACTGTCTCATCGTTTCTTCTTTGAGACTCACCTCTCTCCTATTGCTCGTGGAGTGGAGTTGGAGTCTTTGCCTGAGGATTTTACAGTCTGAGCACGTGTGTGTGTGTCCCAAAGGCTGGAACTCCTCTCTGGTTTTGGGTGGGGAATTCCCAAATGTTCTAAGAAAGCTTTGTGGAATCATTCCAGAGAGCCAGCAGGTAAGCTGTGACCTTGCTTATGTATAAGAAGGTTTTTTGCTTTTTCACAGCTACAGATCATCATCCCAAGGTGAGTGCTTCTTTCCTGAGGAGTTTTGGTGGTCAAGTTTAGTCAGTTTGGGGGTGGTGTCTGTCATCGACTTTGACGTTCTTCCTTTAGATGTTGTAAATCTGTGAAGTTATGAATCAGAATTTTTAACCAGATGTACCAGAACTTGAGCGTTCAAGTAGGGATTGCTCTTTAAAAGTTGTTATCCTGAAAGGTTATGCTTGTATTTCATTGCTGTTCCTTTGCCAAAACTGCCTTATAACTTCTGTTTTGGCAATGAATATATAAGTCATATGAGAAAATTGGTCTCATTCAATAGTCGTACCCTATGTTTAACCACAAATCATCTTACCTGGCTTGGTAGCTCACCTCATGTACCAGACCAGGCTCTGAATGGTCTCCCCTGACCTCTCAAAGTGACTTACCTTGAGGGGAGGAATACCTGCTTGCTACTAGAGCACCAGGAAAGAACTTGCGTGTTCTAAAGGTCCCTCAAACAGAGAAGTTCCCAAAATGCTCTGCACTTTAGCATTGCCGTTGGAATCAGTGTGCAGCCTTCCAGCGTGGCTGCTGGGAGGTGAGGCAGCACCCACTGCAGGTCTGAACTCTGGTGTAGTCTTCTAAAAATGGGGTGCTTATTTCCAGTTTCTTCCTGGTATGCAACAGGTAGTTTCTCAAGTAACAAGATTTTGTCATTTATTCAACAAGCATTTATCGAGCATCGTCTGCCAAAGGCAGTGTGCAGTGGAAACACAGTGATGGACACTTGTCATTCAGTTCTCTGGGCAAGTTCACCATCTTGTGGGTCAAAGAACCGAAGAGGTAGTTCTAAACTTCGCCAAGAATCCTCAATTACAAGGTGATTGTGTGAGAAGAACAACTGAGTAAAAACTCTGAACCGGGAGTTGGTGAAGATGTGACACAAGAGGACCCTTCATGGCATTGTCTGCATTTGATAGGCTGCATGTTCTTCCTAGCACCTGACCTAAAGTGTGCACCCAGGTGGTTGCCAAATTGAATTCATCTCAAAACAGGACGTAGATGCCCAGTGAGACCATGAACCTGCCCAGCCCAGGGCCTGGAACACAAACCATCTTCTGACCCCCAGTGACACTTCTCTTCTGTGCAGCAAGGTGTGGCTCACGTTGTTTCTAATAGGTAGATTCTTTGGCACATTTTTCTCTCCAAGGTGCTCACCTGTGTGCAGCCTCATATTGTTGAATCCTAAGGGGTTCCATAGGTAAAGAAAAGATGTGACTCCTCAGGAAATTGTCACGGCCTCCTAAGGGTGATTGTGTGTCCCAGTGTGCCTAGGATAGCTCCTCTTCATGCCTGTTGTAATTATTTTTTGTTTGGTTTGTTTTCGGTTTTTTTTTTTTTTTTAAGATTTTATTTATTTGTCAGAGAGAGAGAGGGAGAGAGTACAAGCAGGGGGAGCGGCAGGCGGAGGGAGAAGTAGGCTCCCTGCTGAGCAAGGAGTTCGATGTGGGACTCCATCCCAGGACCCTGAGATCATGATCTGAGCTGAAGGCAGATGCTTAACCAACTGAGCCACCCAGGTGTCCCACCTGTTGGAATTGTTAATAGTGCCCCCTTTTCAGTCTCAGACGTGACCCAATTTAGACAATAACATGGGACACTGCTACTAAGGGCCAGCTGTTTGCTGAGCTTGAAAAACACAGAGGTGAGTCTGACCCTTTTATTCAGGTACTTTGTGGAGGGGAGGGGTCTGCCAACAGACTTTACAGACAAATAGTTGTGGACAGCGTGGTTAGTGTGGAAATGTACTAGAATAACATATACTATACTTAGGGCAAGTGTTCTCAATTTGAGAGTGGTGGGTAAGCCTCAGGGGATTTTGAACTCCCTAAAGTGGAAGATAAAAATTGCATACATTCAGGTTTTTCTAGGGAGAGGAGCCATCCCGTCCCCTTCATCAAGATTCTCAAATCAATCCATGTTCCCCTGAGGCTAAGCACCACTACCCTAGAGCACTAAGCCCCCCTCCTAGTAGCAGGTGTGCCCCGGGACCTTTTGCCCTGCCACCTTCTGGTCAGCTCTGAAAACTGCCTTTGAGAGTCAGGAAGTTAGTTAATCTTGGTGTCCTTGGAATGTTGAAGTGATGTCCAAAATTTAAACTGTGGGGGGATGTATTCAGATAGTACTTCTTAAAATTACTTTCCTTGCCACAATACACCAGCCTCTCGGGATCGTGATTTCAGTCAGCATTTCCTGTGGCATCAGTATAAAGGTGTGCACCTTTGGGGTTTTTCTTGGATTCATGTTTAGTTTACATGTGTAAGATTCTAACTTTAGGCAAGTTTAAAATAAATGGTGTCACGAGTTGGACCTCCATATGTTCATAACTATTTTAACTAATAGACTATATAAATGGTATGTTAACTTTTCTATGTACATGAGAATGTTTTTGTTTCTAGAGGGCCTAAGATAGAATTGTAGATGGATCAGCACAAACTTTAAAAGAGAGAAAAGAAAAACAGGCAAAATCTGCTGGTTCAGTAGAAGTCCCCAGTATGTGTGGGTTCTGTTCGAAAAGAGTTTATAAAATTAGTTTGGAACTCAGGTCCCATTTTCCTGTAGAAACAATGGCAAAAAGCAGGGGTGGGCTCCTCTGCAGGTTGCACCAGCTCATTTCATGCATAGTGCGGGGCTCTGTAATTGACTACACGCCCTAGAAGCAGCTCTGATTCGCAGTCCCAGGATACCTGCTCAGTGGCCATGTGGCCTAGGTCCCCTTATCTGTGACAGGGAACATGCCTTATTTGGAAGGCTGACGTGAAGGATGGGTCAGGTACCTGACACAGAGGGGTCATCTCTTAGCAGATGGTGGTGGCTGTCAGCTTTATTGCAGACATCCTTGCAATGATAGAGTCTCCCATTGAGTAGAGAGCTGTTTGTCAAATGAAACCATGAATGAATTAATCAAGTGCACCCAGAGACTGGAAATGCGTCTGACAGAGGTGATAGGAGTCTGGTTCTTAGAAGTTGAGGATTACCTTTATTCGTCCTCTCGCTAATTCAGTTTAAATTCAAATATGTGGAACCTGTGCCAGGCATGTTACCAGGCTTATCTCATCTAATTGTTGCAACAGCCTTGTGAAGTGGATACTGTTGTCCCCGTGTTTCAGGTGAAGAGACAGACTGAGGTGTGGCAAGTGTACGTAGTTGGCCCAGGATCCTGAAGCTAGGAAGCGGAGGGGCTGGGGTTCAGCTCTAACGCAGAGCCCACACTGTTGCACTGTCTCTGTGCCCCATAAAACTGCAGCACACCAAGGGGAAAACTGCCCACTGGCCTGGCCCACTTTTTGCATTGGTTCAGGTAATTTGAAGTTAGGTACTCTTTTTCTTCCATTTCTTACTCTAGGATTTGATTTCAGTTTCCCAGAATATAAAAAGCAGTTTGGATCTAATCGTAACAGTGAAACCAAAGTGCAAACCTGTTTGCATCTGGGCCCCAGAAAAAGGGCTGTTACCAGGCTATGAGAGCTTGTATCTGTGAGCAGGGTAGGATGTTCGGAGGCCAGTAGCAGACTTGGGTTTTTCTGCAACTTATCAGTTGCAGATTTTTAAACTAGTTTTGACATACAATTTTAGATAACATTTGATTGATTTAAGTAAGAAGTCATTTTGTTTCCAGGGTTGCCATTGGATTATAAAATGTGAGAATCAGAATTTGTTGGGCGGGGGGGTGCCTGGGTGGCTCCGTCAGTTGAGAGTCCGACTCTTGGTTTCAACTCAGGTCATGACCTCAGGGTCTTGAGATCGAGCCCCGCATTGGGCTCCACACTAGGTGTGGAGCCTGCTTAAGATTCTCTCTCTTCCTCTCTCTGCCCCTCCCCCCTTAAAAAAAAGAAGAATTTGTCAGGTTTCAAGTAGGATGTCTGAGGTTCAGTAACCAGCTCCATGTGACCGGCTGCCCACAGGGTACAGGTCTAGATTCAGCAGCTGGGGAGATGAAAGTCACTGCCCTCCTGTGAAGAAGATTTCTTATATACACTGTGATAAAAACTAAGCAAAGATGGGCATAGGACTCATGCACAAAGGAAAATCTTACTATTCGGTAAGGAAGGGGAAGGGGCCCTGAGTGGCTGCTTAACCCCCGCTCCCTTCAGGCCCTGTCTGCGACAGCTGAGAGCAGAAAGCCCTTAGCTTTTGGGCACCTTGCTTATCTTTACTGTGGGTGGTAGGTATGCTGTGCACAGGGACAGGCTCTGCCCTGTGGGGCGTAGGGCTCTACTTGATTTTCAACAGAGTCCATTGTTTGTGGACTTTTTTATTTGAGAGAGAGAGAGCACGCATGAGCGGGAGTGGGGTGGGCGACAGATGGAGAGGGAGAATCTCAAGCAGACTCCGTGCTGAGTGCAGAGCTTGAGCCCGATGCCAGGCTCAGTCTCACAACCCTGAGATCACGACCTGAGCCGAAACCGAGAGTTGGACGCTTAACTGCCTGAGCCCCTCAGGCGCCCCTTGAGGACTGACTTTTTTTAAAAATTCTCCCAGTAGTCCTACCTCTGGATAGTGCAGTTAGGAAGACTGAAAAGTGAATCATTTTCAAAACTGTGGCCGTGAATGGATTGATTGGTTTGTAGATTTCTTTTGCTGACCATTTAGTTGATTTATAAAATGGTGAATTTTAAGTGGTTTGTCTTAATGTGTACTCAATTATAATAATTTCCATTAACTGCAAAAAAAAACTTTTAATTATAGGTTAAGATACCATCTCTTGGTATGTGCATCTTTAAACACAGGTTCTCCTTTCAAAAGTATAAATTTGAAAGATATATGTTTAGTTTTTAGTTATATAAATGCATAAAATAATTCTTTAAAGTATATAATTTCCTGTGTGTTTCCAGATCTTGCTGAGATACCAAGCTGCATAATTGTGACATACATTATTTTAAATTAAAATTTTGAAGAATCAAGTAAACGCTGAGCCTTTCACTGTCCCTCTTATTCCAAACTAGTTCAGCAGCGACCTGCTCCAGGCCGCACTGGTGAACGCTCTCTGGTGTTGGTTTAGTGCACATACTCCTGTCCCACTCTGCGCAATTTTTAAATTTAAAACAAAGGGAACAATGTCCTGTCATTGGGCATGGAGGTGGGCAAACGAAAAAATGTCCACTATATGATTATGTCTAGCTTAGTAAAAATAGAAAAAAAAATCCTCTAAAATGACGGTCTTTTTACATAGGAAACTACTCAGATACTTAAAATTTTCTGCCAGAGGTCTTTTCCATGACATACTATGTTAGAATGATAGTTCTCCACTGTTCTGTAAGATAATCACAGCATGCACGGATGAACGCCACCTTCTAAGCATCTGCTGGTGGCCCCGACATACAGATCTGTGAGAAGGCCCAAGGTCTGCATTTTCAAAGATCATCCCGAGTGATTCTGATGGGGCGATCGCAGCCATACTTGGAGAAGTGCATTCAGTAACAGGACATAGCCCATGACCTGGGGACAAGGCCGGCCAGGGTTTCTGCTCCAGACCTTTGAGGGCGGCTCCAGAAAAATAGCAGCGTGCCTTTAGTTTGGTTGCCTCATTCCATAATGCAACTTTTCTGGAATTTTAAAAATAATTTAAGAATCCAAAAAGCTGTCCCTTGCAATGCGTATCTTATTGCTCACTTTCTGTTTACCTGCCGGGTTGTGTTTGTGACAAGAAGTACTCCAGGTCTCTGCTGGATAGCTGCAGATGTGAAGCACTTACATACAGCTTAGGGAGTACTTGCAGCCTTGTGGAGGTATTGTGTGCAGGGCCAGCCAGCGTCCTTCCTGCTGGAACAGCCAGCAGCAGTGGTCTGTGGAGTGGGGTCTGGGGTTTGGAGGAGCCGTGTGGGACCAAGAGAGGTGCAGGTCCTGGTCCCTCCTGCAGGTCGGGAATGAGAATGGGGCCAAGAAAACCAGGCCAGGATTGACTTTCTGTTCTGCTAACTGCTGTGCATCTGTGTTCTCTTTCTTTCGCAGAACTGTGGGTACCGATGGATGTGGCCGAGAGCCCTGAACGGGACCCTCGCTCTCCGGAGGACGAAGAAGAGGAGCAGCAGGGGCTCTCGGACGATGACATTCTGAGGGAGAGTGGGTCTGATCAGGATTTAGACGGAGCTGGGGGGAGGGCTTCTGATTTGGAGGATGAAGACAATGCCGCCCCGGGACTGAGCCAGGAGGAGGAGGAGAGTCACTCTGACGAGGAGGGTCAGGACCAGGAGTCCGAGGCTCAAGATCTGAGCAGGGGCCCCACGAGCCCCCCACACGTGGAGGAGGGGGACGGAGGGGAGGAAGAGCACACGAGCGACCTGAGGGACGAAGCCTCGTCAGTCACCAGGGACCTGGATGAGCATGAGTTAGACTATGATGAGGAGGTCCCCGAGGAGCCAGCCCCCGCCGGGCAGGAGGACGAGACCGAGAAGGCCGGTGCCGAGGATGATGAGGAGAAGGGGGAAGGAGCTCCTGGGGACGGGGGCGCTGCAGGCATTCACAGTGTGGAAGACAAGGAGCCCCTGGAGACCGCCAAGGAGAAAACCAAGGAGGAGGATGATGGGGAGCTCGACGACGGGGAGCTTGACGTGAGTGCTGCCGGGGCTGCCGGGGCTGGGGGTGAGCGGGGGTCAGGCGTCCAGGACACAGG